ACCTTTAAAGACCAAGTTGGTTTAAATACAGGCAGCTTGGTTTAAGATGGAGGGTGCCAAATGCTTGAATGTTCTGCGTTTACTCTGTTCTTACATCCAAAGTGATATTTTTATGTAACATTCAGCTTTAACCTTCATTCAGCTTCTATTGGTTTCCATGTTAAAGGAGTAGTTCACATTTGCATTGGCATTTATTTAACTGATGCAACTGCATACACATTAGATGGATTTTATTGACGATATCCCTTTAGATGGCAAAGTGTTTTTGCTAACTGGTTCATTTCTGTGCACGTTGCTAGCTTACTGAGATACTGCAGGACCTGTTGAATAAGCTAATGTTCATGTAGAATACCAACTTATATTAAAAAAATGTGAACTGTCCTTTTAACATGCCATTTTTGTACGTGTTATATGTTTTAAAAGGGATGTTCCTCCTGTACCATAACTTAAAAATGTTGTCTTTGTCCGCTCCTCTTTAAACTCTCTGGATTCATATGTTCATAACAACTTTATTTTGTATATAACATTGTAATAAACAATAACATTTAAGCTTGTGTGTGGTGTTGACATGCTGCAGATGCATTTTTGGGATTTTAACAAAGCCTTCGGGCCACCACTTGGTGGCGCACAGATGCTGTCACACAGGTTTAAACATGGAAAGACTGATTTTATGTAGTGTGTTTTATGACATATGGGATAATGACGATAAGGGCTGAAAGTGAAAATGTCTACAGCAATAAAACCAGGCTGCAGCTGACCTTGAGGCTCTCATATTTGTTATCTAAATAGCTGTTGAGTAAAACACGAAACCTCCATAAATATAACATGTGCATCTGCAGATCTGAATTGAGAAAGAGCTCTTGTATTTACCTAGAGTGCAGTTATGCAGTTTCACAGTAGTCTATCTTTATGAGACAGGTTCCTGCAGGAGGACCTGAGGTGAAACTGATTATACTGTCTGTGTGTTGTGCACGTGGCCGCCGCCAATTAGACCTGAAAAACAAAACCACTGAAAGATGATTCACTTATGAGATGTATCAGTCGTACGCACGGTTTACACGACGAGATCAGTGGCTCCATTGTTCGTATGAACATGTTTTGCATTCTGTGAATGCTCTGCTGCTTTGCATGTCAGCTGCCGGGTTCAGACAATGTGCCCTTTGTTTGTTGTTGAGCAACAGCTTTTTCACTCCACTTCAAAGGTGGATTCTGTCGGCTGTTCCTGAATGTTAAAAAAGAAAGCAAACAGTGGAGTTCATCTTTGTTCACACACTTCATTCCTGCTCAGTCTTATCACTGTCACCTTTAATGTGACCTCTCTTGGGTGTTCTATTGAACACAGCTTATATTTTGGTGGGAGATCTAATCAAGGCCTTCAAGGGCAGACTTTTTTAAGTATTGGATTTCCCTTCAAAGCACTTAATTCATTTTAACAGTTTTTATCTCTTTAAAGCCACTGTATCCTTTACACTTAATTGTTTGGCGCCTGCTATTTTTATATGTCAATGAAGTTTTTATGTGAGATGAATCACATGTGGAAGCTCTACTTCACTCTAATCTGATCAATGATCACAAAGTTAGGGGAGAAAAAAGGGAGATGGAGAAAGGGAGAGCTGTAGGAACGGGCATGGTAAATAAAACCATAATTACTCTGTCTGGAGGCCTTTTTTTTTTCTTTTGACTGTAGTTGCTCCAAAACCAGGCAGCTGTTAAAAGGCAATCAAGACGCAGAAGGGAAGAAAAGTCAAAAGCCTTATTGTTATGGGGGTTTTATCACTGTTTCAAGCCGTTTGAAAATGTCAGAAAACTCCAAACAAAACAAACAGTCTGATGTTTATCCCCTCAACCGTTGTTCAGGTACATGGCTGAAAGCAATGGAATATCGCTGCATGTGCCAATGGTGATTCACATGGGGAGGGAATTAACTTACACACACATACTTATAGGCATGTTGAGAAGAAAACTGAGCAGAGCTGCACACAATGGAAATAATCAGTCATTTCTGTGAGGATAAAATCACAGATTAAGTCGAAGGGAGGTTGTGATTTACACTGATACGATTTTAAAATATGATACTGCAGTGATTGAAGCAAGTTTAGAAAGTCAGGGCTGCTCAATTCTTCATCTGCATGACAGCCTTTGATGATAAACCAGGACTTTTATCCAAGTGAACATTGCTCTTAAAAGACAACCTTGACTCTCTGTGTTCCCAAACTATCCTGTCAGAGATGAACTGCTGTTGTTTCTGCTTGAGATTTCTTTCTTTATTTTCTGCATCCCATATGTATGTCATCCGTTTAAGTGGGGTGTTAAGAGGGAGTAGGAGAAAGAGGATGAGAGTGAGATACCTTGTAAAGAGGCAGGATCCTGGGAGCCAGGCTGCATAAAGAAACAGTAATAATTAGGCACGGCAAGTGGGATCAAAGGAAGCTGCCATCAATGAGCTATGCAAATGTCGGCTCATCCTGTCAGCCACAGACAGTGATCTGAGGGTCCTGTGTCTGTGAGAAGTCAAATGGCAGACAAATTGACAGGAGGAGCAATATAGCTCCACTCCACAGTCATCAAGGTATGGTAGTGAAACTGGGACACTGTGATATAGTAGCATTTTCAGAGAAAATAAGATGTTCTTCCAGCAGCACAGCATGTCTCTTATGTTCCTCCAGGCAGAGCAGCTTTGTTTAGGTAATAAAGGATAAGGTTTAGTGCTTTGGCTGTAATTTCTTCTATGACAGCAGCTCTTTGGAGCAGTGACTGAGTGACTGACTGACACCGGGCGTATAATAACAGCTTACGCCTTGATAACATGGAAAGATCAAAGTGACATCTTTCCTCATTCTGAATATAATCTGCACAGGAGTGGAATATTTACAAAACACTAACATAACATTCCTGTTTTCATACTGAGCCAAAGGTTGCCTTAGTAAATGAATATTCATAACTCTTGGCATGTGTCCTGCGGCTGGGCCCTGTTTTAATGCCCTGCCAAAGGAAACAAACTATAAAACTGCTCAAGAGCTTTTGATGTCTGGTGGGTTGAAGTACAGCATGTTCTTCCCAGGTCTCTTTTAGAAAACACAGTTTATCTTTAGCATCTGTTGGGGCACACTTCTAACATAAATAATGGAAATTAGAATGAGGAGCAAATCAGTGTTTGGTTAGCACACAGACTTGTAATCATTTGCTAAATAATAATGTTATGAATTGCACCTGGTGTGTTTATGTCTGCACAAGAAAAGCTGGGAAACCCCAGTTCTTTACAAAATTAAAATCTTATTTGGGTTAAAGTAGTGCAGCAAAAATAATGTGACTCTAATTCAGGATTTATAACCTAATCACACCACTAGTCTATCTGCAGAAAGGTATAATCAGCCTGTTTTTTGTAATCTAATTACTTTACATAGTTTGATTTACAAAAGCCTGTGATACAAACAGGCCTACAAACTAATGTGTCTGATAGAAAAAAGCAATCAATTATCAAAATGATAAAAGTGTCCTCGTCATGACTACAAATCCTGAAAACCATGAATGGAGCCGTGTGGAGAGCCACACCAACAGAGGACGCGGTTTCACAACGACACATGAGCTGCCAAACCAGCGCTCAGTGCGTCAAGGTAAACAAGGCCTACAACCGGAAGTCAATTAATGTGCTTTTCAAAATAAAAATACATTTGGTAAAACTGGAAATTCAAACATAATTGGGTGTGAATGAACAGATATCCATAGTTTAAAATTGTTTACTCAGAGGTTTCGTTGCATTGGTTAAAATTTGTAACATTTATAGTCTACTGTCTGGAGAAAACAATAAGTAATCAAACACAAAATTTACTGCAAAGAAAACATATATAATTAGTGAAACTGAACAGCCTGCTGGTTATAGCTTATGAAAAGAGAGGGTTTGCTTGGTTTGGTGTATACTGAAAACTTTATTATTATTATTAGTAGTAGTAGTAGTACTAGTAGCCTAGTGTACAGTTTTTTCTAACAAACGTTTTAACATTTCTTCCGGTAATGTGCAGCTGAATGAGCCATTTCTTAGCTCAAGGACAACAAACTTTATGAGCTACTGATCTGTTATCTTTAGATATTGCAGCTAATATTATGTTTTTACAACAAATTCACAAAAAAACAAACACTTGCACCATTAAAGGTTGCAAATCAGTGAGTGTACCCAAGTATTTTTCCCTTTAGTATGACATAAATAATTCCAAGATTTAAAGGCCCAGTGTGTAGGTTTTAGTGCCATCTAGTGGTGAGGTTGCAGATTTGAAACTTCTCCTGTGTGCCAGGCACGTACAAGAACTAAAAATGCTAATGACCCTACCTAAAGCCATTGGGTTTTTTTGGTTTGTTTTTTTTTTTTAAATTTAATTTTTGTACATTCTGGGTTACTGCAGAAAGAAACATGCGTTCAACATGGTGGTGAAAAAAAGCCCTGCTCCTTATAAACGGCTCATTCCAAGGTAACGAAAACACAGCGGGTCTCATTTTCAGCTGTCTATAAACATATTTATGCGTATTATACACCATCTCTGCCAATGGTAGTCCATAAATCCTACACCCTGGGCTTTAAATTTGAGCTGGCACTGGCAGCAACTTGTGTATTTGTTGTCATTTTGCACACTCTGTGAAGACTAAGTGAATAATAAGTTGTTTAAAACAATGATTTGGCCCATAATAATCAGCACAATGTGATTGCTGCAACCCACATTGAATGAAGAATTGGAAATCCTTCATTATAGTTAACTGGATTTATGATCAAATGGATTTTAATCATCCATGTTCGCTTATGGCAAGCTGTTTGGAACCACCTTTTAAAAAAAATAATAATAATAAAAATTCTATGAATATTTTGCACATTGAGTTGATACACTGCTTGCAACGTTTTCATCAATATTGACATTTTATTTTGAAAGGCACTAACCGGAAGTACCGTCCCTGCTCGCTGTGTCTTGACGCTGCCGTGATCTCTTGCTCTTCAAAGCGCTTCTACTCTCAGTTGGACTGAAGGGAAGTCTGGAGACAGACAGCGAGTGTTGCCCTGTCTCCTCCACAGAGCTTTTACATTTATTATTCACAGATTCATCTCGCCTCTGCACGCGCACAACTGATGCTTCAATGAACACGCGACTTTATTACCTGCCTCTGGATGAAGTTGGAGTTTTCTTCCTGCAGAACAAACACAATGTGACCATGCTGAAGCAGTGACTGCGTTATCCTTGTCCGATATCGGAGTATACCTTTATTGATCCGGGGGGGGGGGGGGGGTGGGACGTGAGCATGGGAAAACTTCAGTCAAAACATGGTGAGAAAAGTTTGTCATCATTGAATAACAACATGCTAAAGTATTTCTATTATAGTCTTATAATAAACTAACGATTGTCTGTTTTGCATCCTTCTCTCTGATAAAGCGTGTAAGCGCAGAGAAAACCCTGAAGGTGAGGATTTTGTTATATTAGGGTTAATAAATGATGATAATAAGATAAAGTAGGTTGAGTTTAAGGTGTGTATGTGCTGATCGGTGTGTTTCCTCCGTGTCTCAGGAGACAGTTTTGTTGTAAACGCTTTCCTCCGGAGAGGGATGGAGGAATGTGAGAGGTACAGCGCGACGGATCAGAAGCTGAAGAACATGCAGGTATAAGGCATTCATCTTCTCTTTAATTTTAAGTCATTGCAAGTAAATGAAAAGACTGCACGGCTAGTAAGTTTACTCTTAATGACAAGTCCGACTGTGTGCAAGCTTTTATTCTTAACTCCGTGCATTTCCAAGAGTTACACAAAAATGAGCGCCCATAAAATCAAAGATGGTTTATGTTGGCAAAGATATTTCTTTGATCCTGTTCTGTCTGAATTGTCATTTTTTCAAGTTGCATGTGAAACATTCATGTTCACTTTTACTTGAACTAAATTCATTATTGGAAAAAGACTGTGCCAGGTGTGTGTGTGTGTGTGTGTGTGTGTGTGTGTGTGTGAGTGTGTGTTTGCTGATGAGATGAGCCTGTCAAGCACTTCAAAGTTGTCTGGTTGAAGCTGTTACATTCCCTCTTCTTGAAAGATGAGCTGAAAACATCTTGACTTGAGGGGAAGGCAAACTGTATTCATAAGCATGTGTGAAGACACGCCGATGTCTTTGCAAAGTTGTAGGCTTGTTGTTCTTTCTGTCATGTCTGGCTCCGGCACAACACTGCAGTGGTTATTCCCCTGCCAGAATCACTGGATGGGTTATGACAGCCATGAGCCCCGTGTGTGAAGCGGCTTGGCAAAGCTGCACACACATATATACACACACACACTGAGAGAGACACACAGGCTGGATGGAAAGGTAGTCGTTTCTCAGACTGAGGGATATAACGTTTGCTCTTGTGGCTGCTGGCATCATGACTCAGGGCTGTGTCTTTTTCCTCAATGCCTCCCATTCTAGTGCAGCTCCCAGTGGGCAGCCCTCCGTAGCATAACATTACATCACTTCAATTAGTGTGTCGTTTTTTTGAGGGGTACAAGAGTCCCGCGCTCGCAGACAGAACACTGCGAGAAGTTCACACAGAGGTACTGACAATCTTGTGAGGTGGGTGGCTGTAATAGTGGAAGAGTTATGGATTATATCAGGGCTATAAACCGCCCACTCATGGCAAATTAAAAGAGAACTTTACTCTGCTTCAGAGGAGTCTGAGTTCACACTCCCCTCAAGGAAAACCACCAAAGGCTTGAGCTTGGCACTTATTAGTAGGTGGGTCCCACCCTCGCTTCTATCAAAGTCAGGCCCCTGATTTATTTTGTGTCATTAGTTGGTTACATTAGAGGCTCCTTCACAGACCAGAACTGGATAACTATCAGCATTTAGCTAACCAGCCCATTACTCTTCCTGTTTGCTTTGCTTTGAGACTAATTTGGGATTGGTTTAGAGGAGGTGGACCAAGGTAAATGCACTCACATCTGTGACATCCTGGTCTTGATATGTACTGAGGGTAAAATATTGCAAAGGAAATAGCAAGTAATGCTTTTTAAGGCAGAAAATAACATCATAATGACCTTTTATTTGCATTTCCACTTACTCCTGCAATGTTCTTTTTGCCATATCACACAGGCTGTATGTTTTACATATTTTTTGTGCTGGATGTAACAAAACCCAAAGCATGATGCTAAGTAGAGTTGAAATGATAACCTCTTTAATTGAAAATGTTTTGAGAAATACTTTGTTAATAATTAATTGATACATCATTTAGGTCATTTTTCAAGCAAAAAATGCAAACATTTTGTATTTTTAGCTTCTCAGTCATGAGAATTTGATGCTTTTTATTTGTCTAATGTGACATATCTTTGGATTTTGGACTGTTGGTTGCATAAAACAAGCAATTTTGGCCTTTGGGAAATGGTATTGGGTTTTTATTTCAGAATTTTCTGGCATTTTATAAACCAAACAATACTTTATTACAAGGGCATTGATTTTGTTTCACAAATATGAAACTCCTCCTGAAAATTTTGAGCGCTAAACACTTAATTTCCTGCATTCTGGTGAATTTTTATGCACGAATTTGTGTCTTTTCTGCATCAATATATGGTAGGATTATCCTTAATTTTGACAAGATCAAAGCCCTCTGCTACTATGTTTTTTATTGGCGGCAACAAACTCACATATTCTCAATATTAAGGGGTGTGTGTCCTCTGCTCCCCCCCGAAATTGACACCTATGATTCATTAATGTTAAAATAATGTGCAGATTAACTGATAATGAACATATTGATTAGTTGCAGCTCTAACGCAAAGTATCAAATGCCAAACAATTCAGTATCATAACTGAAACTGATACTATGAGGATACATTAGATACAGAGGCAATATGTGACAGCCTGTTCGTATACAGTGACAGATCTGTTCACGCTGTTTGAAATCAGCCTATGCTTACATTAATGTAAAGATGGATGATGTCCCCAGGGATGTTTCTCTTGCTGTATAGTTTCCCATCCTACAGACTTTCAGCACAGATAGAATTTATCTCTGCTGCAAGATGGTAACGCCATTTCCTCCTCTGATCCTGCATACTGTTAATTAATACCTCTCCAGGATCGGATTACATTGTCACATTTCCAGATATAATTATTGGATTACGAGTTCTTAGATGTCTGGGGTTTAGACCGTGATTAAACAAGTCCAAGTCAAATAGAAAATGGCAGTAATTATATCATTTTTTTAAGAGGATTTGAAGTTTTTAGATGGATTTCAGCCACATTTTCGCCTCATATAGCTCTCTGGTTTCACCACCTAGTCTTGGTTGATGAGCAGCAGGGACAGTTGAAATTACTTATGATTTTGTACAGGAGGAGATTGGCCAAACACGCTGTTTAGCTCTGACCATCCCCCTCCTCATTGTCAAATGGGGGAGTAGGATTCCTGAGCTGTCTGGCTGCGACTTCAAAGCACAGAGCTGGGAGTTATAAAAGGGCTCTGATATCAGTGGAGCCTCCGAACCCTCACCCCTCTATCCCCCTGCCCTGTCCTGGGGGATGGGCTGAAGGATGGAGTACAACCAGGAGAAGAAAAAAAACAAGCGCTAACATCAGTTTGTGTAAACTTGTAAATCTCCTCAGTGAAGCAGTCATTTCTATTCAGCAAACTGTGAATGCTTTGCAGCGCTTTGGCGAGAAATAACAAAAGATCAAAGGGTGCAAAGACCTGTTTAAATATTGATATTCCTGCAAACTGTGATTCAAGATTGCAGCTGGCTTGTTGCCGTCAGTATGTAACCCTATATGCTCCTTTAAGAGTGGTATTAGCTGACAAAGAGAGCGTGATTCAGCAGGATGACTTGGCTCATCCTGGCTACAGTCATCACACTTTTTGACATTTCTCTGCAGGTGCTTGAGACACGTCTTTCCCGTCCAAGCACCTGGTGTAATATAGAAATATTACAGGTGAGATCAAAGTGGGAGTCCAAGGATAATCGTCCACCTCACCCTCCAAAAATGAGTCTAGTCTGCGGTTATTGAATATATAAAATATATAAAAAACTCCAAACTCTGTACTTATCCAAACCTGCGTTCGTTAGTGGAAGAGCTCTGTGAAGGTTCACTGTGTTTCACCTCTGGAAACATCAACACATCAACAGTCCAGACCCTCACACACACACACACACACACACACACACACACACACACACACACACACACACACACACACACAACCACAGTGCTTCATTTTGGAGCTTCAAACAGACATGCTTGGATGCCCAAATAATGACAGGCTAATTCAGCCTTTCAGCACCATCTTTTGTCTCAAAGCTTCCCACAGACTTGGCCTGTGAAGAGGGAGTGTGTCAACATTTTAAATTCCACAACAAAGACCTTTATTATTCCACTTTGAAAGGTTAATAATATCACACTTGAAGTTAAAAAGGCTCAGTTAGGGATTCGGCTGGATGCGACGAAGTGCCAAAAGGGCCGAGACGCAAATTTATTTTGACTTGCGGAGAGTTACACAGCACTCACCCCTCAATAATAAATTTAGTTTAAGAGCAGAGTTCCCAAGCAGCTCACTCAACTAATTGTAAGCTAATGTTTTTTTAACATTCATTTGGAATCTGTGAATAAGACTTTCCCCTTATATAAAAATCCTCATTTGGCGATTCTGCTCAAAATGGATGTTTTGTTTGGACAGTTTTTGCTGCTGGGCATTTGGGGATATCTTCTAGTCACCATGTTCATTTTGAGTTAGCAGTATTTGATTTGGAGCTGAGGCTGGGATATCTGTGTAATCTTAAGGCTGTGGCCCTAAATGACATTTTATTTTTTAGTGTAAGTTTAAAACTGAGGTCATATCTGTTTTTGAGTTGTGTGCAGTGGATACAATCCTGGAGCTCCTGCAACTACTTGAAGATTTCTTTTAAGAAATATCCCATCAGCAACATCTCATGACTTTTCCCTTCTGCCTATCTTATGAACACAAATGACTACAAAAAGCCCATCCCTGATGCAGCACTACCAGGGTGCAATAGCCTACATGGTGGAGAGGAGACAAAAAGGTGTGCTCATATATGTACTGCTTTTGAAGGGACTTGAAGGCATTTGGAGAGTTTGTTTTTTTCCACCCCTTCTTTTTTTTTCTTTTTTTTGGAAATTGGCTTCACAAGAAGGCGAGCTGTGAGCCTTCATCTCTGAATGAAAAGCATGTGGCTGGCATCCAGAACAGCGGGGTCTTTCAGCACAGCCCCGGCAGACATCTGTTCCTGGTTTGTACAGCAAAATCCTGGAGCAGGGAGAGGGGCTGTGGTGGGAGGGGGTGGTGGGGAAGAGGAAAAGAGGAGGAGGAGGAACTGGGGGGTTTAAGGGTGTTTTTTTTCATGGGGGAGATATTTGAGGGGTTTTAAAGGTAGTGGGGGAAGGGGAGTAATGGAGAGACTCATCCACCTTGTTCCTTGCGTTGTCTGGGGGGGGAGGCAGGAGCTGACCATTGATCTCACCTTACCAAATCACACCGCTCTCTTGGGCCTCTTCTTTCTACGCTGGCTGCCATTTGTCCAGAACAAACATTCATCTCTCTGTCAGCGTAAACATCATCACCTGGTTGGCTCCGACACTCGTCACAAGTGCGAGATGCTAGTTTTAGCCGTTCTTTCATGTTGGAGTGTTTAAGTGCGTATCAC